TTATATGATTTTCCTGATTTTAAAGAAAATGAAAGCTTTCCTTAAAGTGTCATGGGCCCTAGGCCCTGTGGCTTCTAAGAACAGAAGAGCTCTCGAACGAGAAGCCGGCCCTGGTTGTCCACGGTGTCACTCCGGGGTTCAGATCAGGCGCAGGGGCACAAGGTGGGGAGACAGCCGCAGGCAGGGAGAGAAATATTGGAACAGGAGCAGCGAAGGTGGAGGGCGAGGGTCATAAAAGGAGAATGTTGCGGGTTCAGTTGTAACACCCCGAAAGACGAGCTGAACCTCTAACCTCTGTACCGGTGAGTTTGACCTAATTCGGAAGTAGGGTCCTTAGCCACGGAATCCAGTCAGAGCGAGGTCATGCCGAGTGAGGGTGCCCCCCAGTCCAGCGCCTGATGTCCTTAGGAGAAGAGGGAAGTTTGCAAGGAATGCCCAGGGCTGCTGGTCCCCACCAGGAGCCGAGAGAAGGACCTGGAACGTTTCCCTCAGAGCTGTCAAGAAGGTGAGAGGATACAGTTCTGTTGTCTTGAGCCACCAAGTTTGTGGAGCCTGAGAATGGGCAGCGGAGACTGAGAGCTGCCGGTGGAACCCAGTGCCTGGACAAAGCCCAGCCGCCCGAGGAAGCCGTTGTTCAGACAGGCTGGTGAGCTCCCTGCCTAGAACGTTCCCTGAGGATGACTGGCTCTGCGTGGTCTGGATCTCTCACTGGGTGTTGCCTTGGAACACCCAGAAAAAGTCAGGACCCATTTCCTTAAAGAAAGCATAGGAATCACACACACACACACACACACACCCCTGCTAACTTCCCTCCCCGCCAAATAGCACCGTTTCTAGCTATAGAGGAAGCGATTTCGCAACTGTTTTCCTATTTTCCATGCATGCTCTGTCCTTCGGTTGGGTCCATCGCTGACAACAGACCAGGTGTCACCTTTGGGTTCGGAAGGACCCAAAGAGCACAACGAGAACAACTGACCCTAGTCATACCTCACATCTGCCTTCTCCGCTTGGACACCAATGGACACCAAAACCACAATGACAGAAGACCAGGGAATTCTGAAGATGTGTTCAGAAAAGTCTGCCTTCGCTGAGGAAGCCATGAGGGGCCGGCCACCCCCGGAACCCCTCCCGAGGGGGTGAGGGGCACGGGCAGGACAGAAACAGACGGTGCTGGGTGCAAAGGAAGTGCCCCCACTGGGTGATGCTAACCTCAATCCCGCATGTTTTGCTACACAATTTCACAATCTCAGGCAAAAATCATCTGGGGGTGGGGGGCAGGGGGCAGGGGGATGGGGGACAAGCCTGCCTTCCTGAAATGAAAGAGGTTTTTGTCTTTCTACATCCCCTTCCTAGGCTGCAAACTTTCTGCAATGATGCCTCCTTCCTTCTCCCTCTTCAAAGGCTTCTTTTGTCTCAGACCATCTCCTAAGCTGTACCCCCTTTCTCAGGATGGGTCCCGCGGATAACCCAGGATAACACTAAAGAGTCAAGAAAACCTTCTGGTTCTAAAACATGGTCAGTTGAATTACTAAGTCGTTTGGGCGTGATGTGGTGTTCGACCAGACTTGAATTTTTGCCCAACAGGACCTATTTATAATTTTTTATGGGTTCTGATTCACTTGCTGTTGAATCTGTTGCCCACGGAGACATTATGAAAGTAACTTAGTAAAGAAATGGTTGACAGGGTTTGTCAGCTTAGGTGAAATTTACAATTAATCAATAGATATTTTATCCTTCCCAAATCTGATGGATTCGCTAACGGCTTTGGGAGAGAAACCACTACCATGTTGAATCTGCATGTCAACGAAGAGATGGATCCCATTTTCCTGGCTTTTATGAGGATTAAATACAAAAACGTAGGACTTGCACTGGTCCCAGGGTTTGCTTCCTGGCAAAGCACTCAAGTGCTCCCTACTGTATTTCGGGGAATTCAAATAGCATGATTGTCAGTCTGGCAGGTGCTACTTTAAGACCCCATTTTACAGGGGTGCCTGGGTGGCTCAGTGGGTTAAGCCTCTGCCTTCGGCTCAGGTCATGGTCCCGGGGTCCTGGGATTGAGTGCAGAATCGGGCTCTCTGCTCAGTGGGGAGCCTGCTTCCCCCACTCTCTGTGCCTGCCTCTCTGCTTACTTATGATCTCTGTCCGTCAAATAAATAAATAAATAAAATCTTTAAAAAAGAAAGACCCCATTTTATAGATGGGGAACCTGAGGCCTGAAGAGGCTACTCAAATGGTAGGTGGCAGAGCTGCAGCTGAGCCTAGAGATCCCCGAGGAGTTGGCACTTTGGTAATTCTAGAAGCAAGCAGCTGTTTGGCAATGGTCTGGTTTGGACGGTCCACAGAGAACTCAGCCACACCTGGAACGTTCAGGATTCAAATGCCGGAGGTGGTTGATAAGAGTTTCAAAAACAACAAATCCCTCAGCTCTGTTTAATAATGCGGCTGAAGTCAACACATTCCTTTGGAATGACGAGCCCCTCGGTGGACTCTGGAACTGACCCTAAGATGCCCTCACAAATAATCGCCAGCGGACTTGCAAAGACAAACCGTGAGTAACGCCATCCTCCCCTGCGCACATACCCGGATGTTGCTGAAGTCTGGGCTTTCCACAAGCCACATCCTGGGCTTTTCAGATGAGGCATACTCAGAGCCTTGATTTTGCTTTCTGAAATCCAACCAAGGGGCTAATGAGGGAGATCTGGGTCTTCCTGGAACCTTCTCACTCCCTACAAAAGCACTGTGCTCTTTAAGCAAAGGACCGGAAGGCCCTGTGGGGCCACTGTTCTAAGGCCGTGGCTCTTGGGCTCACCTTGAGAAAGCTGCAAGGTTGAGAAGCTACGAACAGACAGGCTCGGTCCCCAACATTCTGATTTCATCAGTCTGGGGGTTCCCCTGTGATTCTAATGCACGGTCAAAGCTAACAACCTCTGCTCCAAGGTCAGGGGCCCGCGAGGTCCTTGACCTCTACCCATATCACCGTTGGGAGGGAGGGAAGCAGGGCACGTTTCCAAGCTTAGTTTCAGTTTGTCATGATTCCATTTTCATTTCTTATAATACAATTATATTGGCTGTGGCTCACATAGCAGCTTCACAGGCCAAGTAGAAATCGGATAACTTCAATCCCAGTTCCCCATGTGTCGGCGGCCCTGTTGGGCTGTTGTGGTCCGTGCACAAAGCATCATCAAACTGCGGTACGAACTTAATTCCTTTCAAGACCTAAAATGGGCATCGCTTGGATTTCAAAATTAACTTCATTCAGCCATCGAAAAGAATGCAATCTTGCCTTTTGCAGCCATGTGGATGGATATAGACAGTATAACACTGAGCGAAATAAGTCAGAGAAAGACAAATACCGTGTGATCTCACTCACTTGTGGAACTGAAGAAACAAAACAGATGAGCAAAGGGGGTGAGGAAAGAGAGAGAGAGAGAGAGGCAAACCAAGAAACAGACTCTTAACTCTAGAGAACACACTGATGGTCACCAGAGAGGAGGTGGGGGGGGCGGATTGCAGGAAACAGGTGATGGGGATTAAGGAATGTGCTTGTGATGAGCACTGGGTTTTGTATGGAAGTGTTGAATCACCGTATTGTACCCCCGAAATTAATATTACACTATATGTTAACTAACCGGAAATTAAATTTTAAATTTTTTTTTTAAGATTTTATTTATTTATTTGACAGAGAGACAGAGAGAGCACAAGCAGGGGGAACAGCAAGCAGAGGGAGAAGGAGAAGCAGGCTCTGCACTGAGCAGGGAACCTGAAGCGGGGCTCGATTCCAGGACCCTGGGATCATGACCTAAGCCGGAGGCAGAGGCTTAACTGACAGCCACCCAGGCGCCCCTAAAATAAAAACTTTTTTAAAAAAGAAAAAAAAAATTCACTTCGAAGACTTAAACGTACACTAAAGAGCTACGAAGATAAGTAACTCCAAGAACTTTACAAAGCACTGAATAAGCATGGAAACAACATAAGGTAAGTTTTGGATGAGATTCTCCTGAAACCATGTATTTTTTTAAAGATTCTTTTTATTTATTCATGAGAGACATAGAGAGAGGTAGAGGGAGAAGCAGGGAGCCCGATGTGGGACTCGATCCCAGGACCCTGGGTTCATGACCTGAGCCAAAGGCAGATGCTCAACCCACCGAGCTATTCAGGTGCCCTGAAACCAGACTTTTCAACTGCTCTCAAACCTCACTGAATTTTTCAGAAAGCACATCACTTCTTTTTTTTTTTTTTAATTTTTTAAAGATTTTATTTATTTATTTGACAGACAGAGATCACAAGTAGGCGGGGAGGCAGGCAGAGAGAGAGGGGGAAGCAGGCTCCCCGCTGAGCACAGAGCCCGATGCGCGGCTCGATCCCAGGACCCTGAGATCATGACCCGAGCTGAAGACAGAGGCTTAATCCACTGAGCCACCCAGGCGCCCCGAAAGTACATCACTTGTTCAAATTATAAATTTTGTTTTTCAGCCTGATCTTTCCCGACAGTAGCAATCACCGACCTCCTGACTACAGAATGCAATTGTAGAAACGGTAACAGGTTTACTTAAAAGTCCTGAACAAGACAAGTAGCAACAAATATTGAACACGCCTTGGAATATGCTAATTTCAGGCTTTGCAGAAGCCCTAGCAAGTGCCCGGAGCATGTGAGATGAGAATTTGTCCTTCGTTTGTAGAGGTAGCGAAGGAAAAACACTTCCACCGCTCACTTTGCTTCCAACCCTTTGGTTCTAGAAGAGACTACTGTTTCTAGCAGGACCAGAGTATAACAGTCAGCTCCTAACTTGGAATCTGCTTGTTGTCCTGTTCAAATCAGTCAGACCACTGTATTTGATTTTCAATGTCTAGTGCCCATCATTGAGAGGTGCTCTAATACTTTCTGGCCCCATTCATCCCTTTCTGTGTTTGCATCATTTGCCCCCAAGCCGCATTTTGGAGTCAATCAGAAATCATGCATTTCGTGGGAAAGCTTTGTTAAGAGAACAGAAGTGGCTTACCAGGCTCTGTTGTCCTAATTTCTCATCGGTCACCTGCAGCGCCAGGGAGGGCTACCCTCTGTCACTCGGTGTGCTCAGAGCAAAGAAACTGGCCAACTTCCTGAACTCGGCGCCTTTACCACCAGCAGAAACCGGCATGCAGTTTGCAGAAGTTTATGTGGGAAGAAGGGAACTTGTGATTTCTTAACTGTTGCCAAATCATTTCTTGACTCTGCTTTAAAATTTCAAAACTGAAATTCAGGGGCAGAACGTTATTTATAAAATGATTTAAATGAATGATACAAATAGAACACATATGGGGGGAGTTGTGGGTGTGCGTGGTAGGGGGAGGGGGAAGGCTACAAGGAGCCTCACCAAAATGTTAACATCAGTTTGCTCTGGAGAGTGGGATCAGGGGAAAAGGAGGGAGAGAAACTGGGACATTTTTTCTTTGACTTGAAAACTTCAGTGTGAGGGGCGCCTGGGTGGCTCAGTGGGTTGAAGCCTCTGCTTTCTGCTCAGGTCATGGTCCCAGGGTCCTGGGATCGAGCCCCACATCGGATTCTCTGCTCAGCAGGGAGCCTGCTCCCCCCACCCACCTCTCTGCCTACTTGTGATCTCTGTCAAATAAATAAATAAAATCTTTAAAAAAAAAAAAGAAAAGAAAACTTCGGTGTGTTTTCAGTTTGAATTCAGTTTAGGATTCATTTGAATTCAGTTTAGGATTGCCCAAACTCATCTTTTGTTATATAAAGCAGAGAAATAACATTTGCATTCCTTCATCTGAGTTCCACGGCTTTCCAAAACAGCACAGAGCGAGGTGAGTGTGGGTCCCCCAGCGGGCGTGTGGTGCACAGAGGGAGTCTCACCCCCAGTGTCCCTGCACCTCAGCCAGCACCTGGCCCGCGGTAGAAGGTCAGTAAACATCCAGCGAATGAGGGAATGGGTGACTGGAGGCGCACGAGCATTCACGAGGCAGGAAGTGTTAATTTCCTGATTCGGTCTGATGAGCGAACTGGATTCGAGGCTCTCAGAGCGCCTCTGAAGGGTTAAGCACAGGAGTCAGCCAACTGCAGCACAAGGGCCAAATGCAGACGGGGGGGGGGGGGGGGGGGGGGGGGGGGGGGGGGGGATGGGAGTGAAGAATAATTTTTACAAATAAACATTTGTAATCAATCTGATGCTAAGGAACGCTAATCTTGAACTACAAATACACGAATGTGATTATCCCCAGAGAACGCCATCCTTGTCATTATTAGACCTATATTACAAAAAAGTGCACTCGATTACTATAGTTTGAATTTTATCAATTAAATAAGCGTGCAATGTGTTTTTCTCTTATTATGTAAGTACCTACATCATGTCTTTAATGAGCCTCTTGGCCCACAGAGTCTAAAATATTTACTTCCTAGAGAACATTGGCTAACCCTTGGCCAAGAGATTCACTTGGAATGGGATAGGATGTGTTTCTTCTTGCCTGACATTGGGGACAGGGTGGGACCAGGGTGACATTTTTATGCACACACGCGCACCCCCCTCTACACACATTGTATCATTACTGTTCCCCCCAAGGGAACACACACTGTGGCTTCATGGGCCCCCCAGAAGACTTCATGATAGTGAGCTCAGAGATCTCATCTACCTACTACCAGTCTCTTGGTTTCCCTCGAACAATTTGGTAAAAAATGAAGTTTTAAAAAGTAAGTAAAGGGTCGCCTGAGTGGCTCAGTCAGTTAAGCGCCTGCCTTTGGCTCAGGTCATGATCTCGGGGTCCTGGGATCGAGTACGGCGTCGGGCTCCCTGCTCAGCGGGGAGCCTGCTTCTCCCTCTCCCTGTGCCCCCCTCCGCCCCGACTTGTGCACTGTTGCTCACTCTCTCTCTCAAATAAATCAATAAAATCTTAAATTAAAAAAAAAAAAGAAGTAAAAAGGATTGCCAGTAGGGCTGAACAAGAGGGCTGAACTTCAGGCTGGACGGCTGGCCAGCCTTTCTAGAAAAGACACACACACCCTGGCTCCCCGGCCACAAAGGGTCAGCCGATCACAGGCCAGTCAGCTGGGCTCCCGCCAAGCCCGGCACATGGTGGCGCGACGCTCACAGTCTAGTCGGTGCTGTGCCAGGCAAGCTTAGGAACCTGGGCCACTTATTCAAATCAAGTGAACCTTCTCAGGTGTTTCCACGCAACCAGCAACCATGAAAGAGGGCAATGACATTGACACAAGGCAGGATGATCACTGCAAACCGGAAGCTTAGTCCCATGCAGAAAGTGGCCAGAGTGAGCCGGCCCTCTACTTGAGCCTCACACCTGGCCCTCAGTAGCCAGCCCTGCTCTCCCTGCCCTGCCCCTCTCGCTCCCCTGGGCTGTGGCCCACAGCGGGCCCAGGGAGCCACGGGCAGGGTGCTAGCCATGCTCCTCTCCTCTGGCCTCAGCGGGCCGCCGAGCATTCACAGGGCAGCGGGGGCTTCTCCCACATCCAGGCCAGCCACACAGGGAAATCCCGTGGAGCCCTGAAGAGGGCTCAAGACCTAGGACAGCCCCAGGAACCTGCCATCAGTTGTGTGTCCAAAAAAAATTCAACATGGAGAACAGAAAAGCTACAGTGGAAGGAGTCATAGGAAAGAACCGCTTCTTAAGCAATGGATTTAGATGAAGGAATGCATGAGAGGATTCCTCTACACAAAACCATATCAGATGTGAGGTGCAGAGCTCCTGAGGGCATAGCTGCTGCGGGCCCACGTCTGGGAGCCCCAGTCAGCTTCCTAAGGCACCTCCAGGCCCGCGGCCCTTCCCTGGTCAGCACAGACACAGGTGATGTGGGCCACAGGACTCGGCCGCAGGTAGCAGCTGCTGTCCAGCTCATGGTCCTCCCACACCTGTTCCCACAATTCCATAGCTTTTCCCCTACTTCCTACTCCCCATTCCTCCCTCACTCCTGAGCCCCTTAACCCACCTTCCAGAGCACTCTGTTAGCACTCAGACTTACACCGGCCCCGTTAGGCTCATTCCCCCACCAGTTCTTCTCCATTTGTACATTATTTCTCCTTTTATTTATTTATTTTTAAAGATTTTATTTGAGAGGGAGCGAGCATGAGAGGGGAAAAGGACAGAGGGAGAAGCAGACTCCCCATGGAGCTGGGAGCCCGATGTGGGACTCGATCCTGGGATTCCAGGATCATGACCTGAGCCAAAGGCTGTTGCTTAACCAACTGAGCTACACAGGTGCCCATTATTTCTCATTTTAAACAAAAGCTTAAATCGCTAGTCTATACAATACTTCAATACCCATCAGAAAATGGCAGCCCTCTGGATGAAAAAGTTAGCTGAAGGCATACTTCCTGTGGCTTATGTAGCCCCAGATCAGAGCACAGAGCTGGGTATGAAGAAGGAGGGCTGGATTACAGTCTCACTTGGCAATATGGCCAACTACTCTTGAGCAGTGGATAACCTGTGCAACTGTACATGATGATTCAGCTAAACAAATTGAAGCCTATTTCAGCATCATGAATAGGACTGTCTCCTTTCAACAGCATGTCTGACTGCACAAGCAGGGCCAAGGCAAGGTCTTGCAGTCCTCTGCAAATTCCCTTCTTGAGGCAGTCCCAGGTTGCAGACCAATTATCTGAAAACCTGGGTGTTTCCATTCATTGCAACCCATTCCTATGTTTCCTGAAGCCACTGTCTCAAATAATGGGCCAAGACACCACAAAAAGCCATCGCACTTGAGAGCTGGAAGGGCCACCTTACTTCAGGGATGTGGGAACTGAAGGCCAAGGTCAAGAGGGCAGTAGTGGTAGAGAAGAGTATGGGAACCCACCACCCCACTTCTGCTCTGTGCGCTTTCAACTTCTCCCTTCGCAAATGCCCTAAGTGAAAAGCCAGACAGGATCAAGCCTCCTGTCCATGTTTTGCGAAGAGGATGAGGGTGAGTTTTCCAGCTCCCACTAACTCTGTGTTCTAATACCTCATCCACATCATAAAACTTCCCCTTCCACTGACGCACTGCGGGTACGCTGACGTTCATTCTGGCTGCTCCCGGTCCGCCAAAGCCAATTTAGGTGCTGACAGGCGTTCCCAGGCCAAAGGGGGATTAGGGAAACAGAAAGGCCTCGTAAGACATTTACCAGTGAGAGTCCCCTCCCCCAACCCCCAGACCTTCCTCTGGTGGGAAGGGGGCTCTGAGGCAGTCACTGCTTCAGGGAAGGGTCGGTGTCACAGGACCCAAGAAAAGAGAGCAGTTGCAAAAGTTGCAGTCGAGTTCTAGATGTTTGAAATATATACACCTAAAATGGTATTTCCTCTCCCTGGACAAGGTTTAAGAGGAGGAGATGGTCAGAGAGGAGCGAGACAGAGAGGGCGAGAGATGCCAGCTGGATCTCAGACAAGGGCCTGGCCTGTGTGAAGACCAGGAGGAAACTCAGAAGCCCCAGATAAATTCTGGGATTCAGGAACAGGGGGAGCCTCCTCCTGATACCCCCGCTAGAATCAGGGGAAATGGCAGTGTCTAGAATTTTCCTCACTACCCTAGACCCGAGAGCAGTGGGGAGCACGGAGGCAGAGGGGGCTTGACAAGGCTGCCCTGGTTTGCTCTAAACCCCACAGCATCGTGAAGGAAAAGGCTTCTGAGGGGAGTGAAAGCTGGCTGACGCAGCAGGGGGCTTTAAGGTCAGGTGGTGGGGACAGAGCACGGGACGGCAGCCCGCACAGATGGGCCACAGTTGAGGGACTTGAGAGTGATGAAGCGAGACCATCCTGTGTGATTGTTCCATTGAGCCCGCGGTCACATGGGAAGGTGTTTATAGCTTGTAAAGCTTCAAGCCTTAGCCATCCTTATCCGTGAGTAAAGAGGGGGGGTGGCGAGGGGTTGGGGGGTGCTCCAGAAAGTTAAGATATAAAGGGGCTCGGTCAAAAATAGAGCTTATGGTGGGCCGAGGAGTGAGGAGGGTTGGGAAGGACAGAAAGGACCACGTGGCGCTGGGTTGCTTAGAGCCGTCAGTGGAAACCCATATTTAGCTTAATAGATACTGACGGACAAATGGAAAACTAAGTTCACTGCTAACAGGTATCCCTGATACGATGCGTCAAGAACGGCACTTGACCTCTGTAGCTCTCCCTCCTCAAAACCCATAACCCCAGTCTCATCAGGAGAGAAACATCGGAAAAACCCAAACGGAGGGCTACTCTACAAAATCCCTGACCAGTGATCTGCAGAATTGCCAAGGTCATCCAAGACAAGGAAAACAAGTGACTGTCACGGCTCATAGCAGCCTAAGGAGACAGGCCGACTACATGTCATAAGGTACTCTGAGCACTAGTGGAAGACTAATGGAACCCGAAGAAA